AATTCTCTCTGCCATTATTTAGATAATGTCTGTCTACAAAGATGAATTTGTCAGGTTAGCATTTTGTGGGCTGGTCACTCTAAACCACCGCTCACCTTGACACACATCTGCTTACTTAATCTCTCCATGTACTCACCTAATCATGCCTATCTTGCCAGCAATATTCTTTTGACCTGTTTACATTTTTTTACATGAGAAAAAAAGAATCATGAGATAAATTGTCAGCAAATTCTGTGAAGGTTGTTCTCAAACAAAACTGTTTTTTGGCCAGCAGAGAGATGTTTTTTTCAGATAAGCACTCCAAGTCTGCTGCACCCGCATCTGCAGTACACGGACAGATGCGGGCACTGGCGGTTTGGTCAGCGAGACTGTGTGAATTTGTGAGGCACCTGATGAAAAGAGATACCCTACTGCTAATTCATGTGCATTTTCCCTATTTAGGGGAACCATACTCTGTGTTTCTGTGACAAAACTGGAATCAGGATATATATATTTTGCAAAATCTTAGGCTTGGCAAAGAGGTCCAGGTCACCCCTCTCATGGAAGAACCCCCTTTTGCTTATCCTGTGAAACTGCTGACAAGCTCTGCTCCAGCTTGATTGAGAGAATCATTCTGCCTCTATTAACATTCCCTTAAAGTAAACCATAATTGATCTCCACAGTCTCACACCCACTTGAGGAAGGCCATCTTTCTAAAACATTGTGAGTAACCCTACAGTTCCTTTTCCAACAGCAGGGCCGGTCAAAGGGTGAAAATGCTTGAGTGTTACCATTGCGTTCTCCTGCTCTTTTCTGTACCAGATGTTCCGGCTGCCTGCACTGTACTTCTCAGGGCATGTTTCTCAGTTTTTCTGTCCCCTCCTCCCCACACCATGTACTCTGCTCAGCAAACCCTGTGCCCTGTGCTCATCGTAGCCTAGGTATTTTGGTGGTGTTCATTTTTCTGAGATAAAATTCACATAGCATGAAATAATCCATTTTCTACATGTACCATTCAGTATCTGTCCATTGCAGAACTCATCAGGCCCAAAGTGCCTTTTGCCCTGGAAGTTCATGAATAGAATAGTGGAATGGTCAGGAAAAGAAACAGAACAACTTGCCCAAAAACTGGAACAAAGAAGGAGCAGAGCAAACTTGGGAACCCTCCTTTGTTTTCATTAGCCTGAAGGGTTCTGTTCAATAGTCCTGTGAGTCTGTGATCAAACAGCATTCCCCTACTTTCAATCACTCATCCTCCCCCACTTTCAACTGAGGACACTATTATTTTTGCACTTCCTGTTCTCCCCAGCTCCACCCATATTGCATCCCATTGGCAAAGCCGTGAAGATGCATCTGGCCCATTGTTGGAGTTTTTTGTTCTTCCCACTATCCCTTCAAAGGAGTTTGAAAGGAACCAGCTTCTGCAAGTCTAGGAGCTAAAATGCGTTTTAGGGAGATGGTAGATTCTCACTGAGCATGTAGAAACCATGGCTGAGCACCCTGGGCAAAATGAAAGCATGTGGTACCATCTAGTAATACACCGCAACTCCACGTGCCCTCTTTTGAGTCAGTGCCCCCTGTAGGGTTCATCTTTCTTCCACCCTAGGATGCTCTCCCACTTTCCTTAGTCACTTCATTATCTGTTTCCTGCCTCCCATCTCCTGAGGTCTTTTCCCTGTGGTCTCTTTCAGAACTTCCTTCCTGTTAAGACTTTATCACCCTCATAAGGAAATGCCTTTTATCCTGACCCCCAGTGACTACCTACCAGCTCCGCAATACCTTCTTGCTTCTCTGCATCCTCTAGCACAGTTGAGCTGCTTGGGCACTTGTCCCTGCCCCTCCACATTTTCCCGGTGTATCAGTTCCTCCTGGCTCTCTCCATCCCTCACCAGACAGACGCCATATGGTAACAAGATGTTTTCATGGTATGCGGATGACTACCACCCACAACACGCCCCTCACCTCCTGTTGTTGACTCCTCTGCTGGTCCTTCTCTGGCACTGGGCTGGCCTGCCATTCACTATTCCCCTGTAAGGTTCCTGAGCATCCCAGTGGAAAAGCAGAAAACCATGACCGAGTTTTCTGCCCCCAAAGTCCACAAAGCTGCCTGGCAATCCTTATTTTTCATAACTTCTGCATCCCCCCTTGTGGCCCCTGAAGCCCTTTTCCCAATAATACTCTCTACTTCCCAACTCACCTCACACCAGAAATGGTCTCAATTCCTTCTCTGCTAAGAAGACAAAAGCCATGTTATGTGATATACCTCGGCTTCCTTTCTGGGCTTTGTCCAGAGGCCTAGTTTTTTATTTCTTACTGCCTATGAACATCCAAGCATATGTATTATCCGCCATCAATGTATTAAACTAGATGTACCAGCCTCACCAGAACTAGTTCCTCTATACATTTTATCCCATTTAATGCTTTCTCCTTCTCTGTCACTCACAGTTACCTTTTGACTATGAAACCCCATGAGTCTACTTTTACATTGCCCCTTACCTTTGGCTTCATCTCAGGATGCTCACCAAGGCTGTTATGGAGCCTAAGAACTTGACATTTAAGGAATGAATACTTGCCTTTCTTGTCTTCACTTGCTACTTCCTGTACTGCAGACTTTCTTTGCCAAAGGAGGCCCTCACTGTTTTTAAATGAATGACTATAAAAGAAGCATTTTAATACTTTACTTGCATTTCATAAATGATTTGTTATCAAGCATATTTTTCATCATTAATTATCTGAAAGCTCTTATTCTTATCCAGGCAAGCACCAGAATACAGTTTTATGTCCAGAGTCTCAATCGGGTTACTCCTGCTCTGTGTCAGGAAGAACACTAGTAAGGATACATGGTTGGGTATCTTTAATTTGCCCTCCTTCTTGAGAGTCAGGTATTATCCATAAGGCTATTACATTTTCATGGCAATTTTAGATAACTTATATTTCCCTTTATACATTGATTTTTCTGCTCTTCTCCTCTGTATTTTTAACAGGTTTTCAAAATGAAAACTATCAGGATGACATAAGATGCTATTGATAGTACATCAAAATGATTCAGCTGTTCTTCTGCTCAGCAGAGTGTGGCTGCTCTGTGCACAGCCTGTAATACATATTAGTTACACAGACATTAGGAAAGCCCTTCCCATCCATATGTATGTGCGTGGCCCGTGGAAGTTAATAATGCCATATATCACGTGCACGAAGAATATAAAATGTACTTCAGAGTGACAGCGGGCTCATATAAAATGAGAACTCGCTTATGGTGAGAGGAAACCCCGGGAAAGATTTTGTTTTTTCAAATCCACTGTTTACTGACTTATTTGTTGCTATCTGACTCAGTATCCCAGACCTACATTCTGCCATTGTTATGGTGGTGGGGGAGGATTTCAATATATGCCCCTTTCTCCAGCCACCTTATTTCACGGCAGCCACATGGATAACAAAAGAACCCCTTTGGAGGCATGAAAGACAGCAATTACACATTGATATTCATGTTACAGGAGTCACACTGCCATCCTCGGGGAGTTTAACAATGAATATCCAACATTAATTGCCACAGTAACTGCATGTCCAACCTTGCTGAAATGTAATACATCAGTTTTACATAGTAAAATTATTTGCCACTAAAAGATTAAAGAAAAATGATCACAAAATTATACTGCCATTTAGAATGAAAGATTTTTTTTGTTTGTTTTTAAGATCCTGGGAGACTCCAGTGACTAGATAACCAGGTTTTCTTAAGAATCAGGGCAACTGGAGTTGAAATCATAATTTTAGAACTGATTTACTTGGCAGTTAAGACAAGATTAGTGCCTTCCTATTCTTAAGAAAAGAGAATAAATATACATGGACAGTCCTTGATGTTGCTGTAGAACTGATGACTAAGTTACAATAGACCTTGCACATTTTATCCATTGGGGAAAAATCTTTTATGTTTGTGCTGAACTATAGGTAGGATTTTCTGCCAATAGCAGCAACATGCTAGGAACCCTAGTGAACGTTTCCCTTAAAAAAAAAAAAAAAAGGCAGTGTCATTTTTAAGGTAAGATGTGCTTGCGGTCCACTTCAGTCATTTTGCTCAAGCCTCAAAAATACAAAAACTAGATTTTCCATGTATTTTGCCTTTTTCCTGTACCACCTTACACTTACTGGGTGCTCCACACTGGGGGGAATTCACACTGTGAGCTCTGGAAAGTGCCCACCCCACCCAGCTCCATGATGCAGGGTCAGCAGAGAGCCTGACTCTGACAGAGCCACGTCAGCATCAGCGGCCACACTTGCTCCGGGCTGTGGAAGCTGTGTGTGCAGAAATGAGTGATTGTTCTGCTTCCTGTCCTTTATATAAGGGACTGAGGTGAAGAAAGTCAGTGCACTCACCCATAACACCTGAATATCAGCCTAGATGAGATTCTAACTAGAGATCCGTTTTTTGCTTGTATTCTAGTGAAACAAGTACATGATAAATGTGAAGGTCACTGCAAGTCTGACAAAAAATGAACTGAGTGATAGAATAGGTAGTTTTTTAATCAACTTTTAACGTGAAACTATGAAGTAAGTGAATATGATATACATATGTCTATGTGAATTGTTCATTTGGCGTTTATAAGTTTTATATGACTCTTCAATTCTAACAGAGTGAGTCTTTAATAATTAGCATTAGTCCCATAAAGAATATGCAAGGAGAAGTTGTATTTCTTGTGTGAAGCTTTAAATTCCTTAAATTCAGATTGTTCAGGGAGTTTTAAAAGGAAACTTTTGAAATCACATCCCCACTTTATATTTTTTCCTATATACTTTACAACTTGGTAATGCACTGAGTCCATAGAACTTGAGCCTGGGTGCTGTGCAATTAGAAGATTCTTGGCCATACTCCTAATTTATTCTGAAATCTTTAAATAAATTGTGCTGGAAATGAATTTGAGAACTAGGTGGTTTTGTTTAGCTTCTTCGTCTTTTCTTTTTTTTTTTCTTTATTAATTTTCTCTCTTTTCTCCTTCCCCCATCCATCACTCTGTCCACAATTAAAACAGGATGATGAAGTGTTAACCACCGTTCAGGTTAAAGAGCAAGACCGGAACGTCCTGGTGCTGAAGAAAGTGCAGTGCTGTGGTCCAGCCCCCCCAGCTGGGAGCGCTGAGAGTGATTGGAGGTGAGAGTTTCCACTAAGGCACTCGCTCCTGTTTCCTTCCCCTGCCTGCCTTCCCTTCTCTCGCTCCATCTCACTCGCTCTCTCTCTGCCTCCTATATTCCCTCCCTCCCTCCCTCTCTTTTCTCTCCGCCTCTCGCCTCTCGAGTGTTCTAGCTGACTGCAGAGCTCTTAGCAGCCAGATGGACTCAGTTCCCAGTGAAAGGACAGAAATGGCAAGATCTTTTAGTATTTAGGGGATGCCTTTGTTAGTAACTGCTCACAATGGGCAGCTCCCGGCTGAGGGTCTTTGACCCTCATTTAGAGCGGAAGGAATCTGCAGCTCTCTCAGACCGAGAGCTGCCCTTACCCACCTTCGATGTGCCTTATTTCAAATACATTGACGAGGAGGATGAGGACGATGAATGGAGCAGTCGCTCACAGTCTTCCACTGAGGATGACTCCGTGGACTCTCTGCTCTCTGACAGATACGTTGTGGTGTCCGGGACCCCAGAGAAGATTTTGGAACACCTTTTGAACGACTTGCACCTGGAAGAAGTCCAGGACAAAGAAACAGGTAAGGCAGGAGGGTGTCTCCTGTTTCCAGACTCCCAGCTGCCCTCCTCAGCCTCCTGTCAGCCTCTTTACCAGCCAGCTAGGCTGGGCTGCCTGAAGCTGGCTGAGCTAAGACATGCTTTGTGCCCCTCCCCCTTTGCCTCGTGCTGTTTTGTTTAAATCCAGTAAATGGACACACAGAGATCTGAATAGCTGTCTAGGAAGTAGCTGTACAAAGAAAATGATACAGAGGCAGATGTTCTTGTTTATTAGGCAGTTTTTACCAAATCTCACCTAAAGGCAGTTGGCAAGAGACCAGCACTCAAAAGTCTGTATTCAATGAGAAGAAATACACGGGGTGGAGTGAGTGAGCTTCTTCCCCTGGCCTGTAAGAAGCCCTGAGCTGGTGGGAGTAGCTTCCCCACAGAAGTGCCAACAATTGAAGCAACTGCTTAGCAACTATAAGCTTAGTAGCAACTTCTGCCTTTTTCCAAGTGGTTTACAGACTGCCCTGCTGTGCAGAATATGATACTCCTCGCTTTTCAGACCAGCAATCATAATTTCAGTGAAATCTTATGAATCAGAATTCTTGTCCTTTTCAACCTGTAAACAAATTACCTGCTTGGCTTTTTCACCCCCTTATACTTTGGGAAATAAGAACCTTTGAGTTCACGAAATGACCGGCCCATATTTCCTTTATCTCAGAAGGATGAGTCCTTGCTTCTCTTAGCCAGGATTTGTAATTTGTTCCAGCCTGGAGCAATTATTCCAGTAAAGAGGCTTCTGACTGTAGCCTGAATTCTGGGACTTGATCCTCTGAGTAAAATGCACTTCTGGCTGCCACCGCAGCACCTGTGATGCCCACAGTTTCCAGTATATCGACTTCATCAATAAAAGGCTGTATTAGTGCAGAGCAACAACTTAAATTTTTTTCCAGTGCAGGAAGAATTGCAAAATGACATTTTTTTGGTGGGAACAGTAGGTTCCTTGGGTCCCAGTAGTTTTATCTGAACATAATTGATGTCTGACTCTATATTAAGGACATTATATATATATATAAAGGACATTAAGAGAAACAAAGATGGGTGAAATATGTATGTGGGTTTAAAAAAAAAGGCAAAATGACCCAATCATGTATCTTATATTGATGTTATTGTTTGATCTCAAAATTCAAATAGTTACCTTATTTTGTATATGTTTCAGGAGGAAAAATCAATAGTTGTTATTTATATACAGTAAAAGAAAAAATGTTGTCTCATGGCATTTGCAGGGTTGTTCTTGTAGTCTGTTGATTAGTTTTTTATGTGTGTGTATGAACACTATTCCCATGTTCTGCTTCATCAGATATATGCATCATGGACTTGGGCATAATTTTCTGTGGACTGGCTACCAGACCACTTTACACAGGTAGCTTGGATTATAGGTAATGGTATATTGGACTAGATTATCTGCCATGAAAAGGATACCTTTAAATGTGTGTAGAGGCTTGAGAGATTGAGTGCTTTCTCCTTATTAATAGCATCATATTTCTATAAGGCTATGTCTAGGTCCTTTTAATAAGAGCTGAAGTTATTAAAGCCAATACCAAGCCCAATGATTATTTTTTCTTTCTTTCTAATTGTCAGCAGTCTTTAAGAAAGATGGCCAAGGCACCCACAAAAAGTTCCATTATCCAACACTAGGAACGAGGACTCGCCCTGCTTACTGTTTCTAATGCTAGGAGTTCCCCTTGTTGGGAGCATGGGAACATGCACTTGGTGTCTAGTGACTTCTACTTCAACTTTCTTCTCAGTTTTACCAGGCCTGGGATCAAAATCTGTCACTTTAGCTGTGTGATCAGCAAAGCAAAGGGAACTCACTGGGTTGACCTCTGAAGGACAGGAAGAATCCTTACCTCATTCCTACTTAGTTCCTTAGCCTTTGCTGAGGGTATCCATGAAGCTTCACATTTTTTGCCAGAAAAATTTATGGTGGAGAATGGTAACAAGTTTTCCTTGGAACAAAAGAGAGTCTTGTGGAAATGAAAAAGTCAGTTTTTGAGTGTGAGGGATGTGTGATTCATAGGGATGCTTAAGTAGAAATAACATGTAGTTCTTCAAAATTTCAAGTATAGTATTTGGAGAAAAAACAGCAGGCAGGCCCCAGTTTGGTTTTTATTGATGAAATTAAGAGAAATATAAAGTCAGAAACAAAATTTATGTGCCTAGTGAAGAAATGTGGTTATAGTAATTCCAGTTTGAATACTAAAGGAATCACATATTTAAAGAAATTAAGGCCCCTTGTCACCAGCAGAGGTGAATTCTAGCTAGTTTATTTTATCTTGGTCAGGCTAGCAATCTTCATCATAAAAGGCCTGTGTGTGCAAGAGCCTAATAGAGTTGCATAAACATATGGAAGACAGATGGAGGAAAATGAGAAGGGGCTGCAATAAAAGTATACAGCAGCATTTTTTATGTTCTTGAGCTCCCCTTTTAGGAAGATGGAGCCATATGGGGCCAAGTGAAGCCATATGGTGGTCGTCCACATGGCCCTGATGGCAGTGGGGAGGAGGAAATAAGTGCTCCTGGAGGCTAGGATGTGCTTGTTCTGGACTCCTACATTCCCGCGTCCACTAAAGACTGGGGACGATAACCAAGAAGTAATTTTTTGTCTCTGTCTTACAAAAGTCACCTAGTTGTGAAAATACAGGTGTATTCTGTATTTCCCATAGAGTTGTTTCTCTGTTCACAAAGGACATTCGAAGTGATTATTAAGTGTTGTTAACATGCAAGTTGGGAAGTTTATTTAATGAAATGAAACAGTAATTTTTTTTTTGCTAGCCAAATCTAGACTAGAAAACAACAATTCATCTAGCATTCTGTAACTACATTAAACTAAGTTTCAAAATCAAAAGATAGTATTATATTAGAGATGCTAAAACACACTACTAATGACTTTCCAAAATTATTTTATCCATACAATACTTAGCCTACTTAGTTTCATGATCCCCTGTGTGCATTTCTTTTCTCTATGGTAGTGCCAGGCATAAGGAGCATCCAGCAGATGTCTGTGGAATGAATGAATGAATAATCCTTCATTGTTTAAAATGGAAAAATGTTTGTCTGGTAACCAGATATCTATTTATGAACATGGAGATTGAAGCTGTTTTCAAAGATCTCCTTTTCTTTCAAGGTTCAGGTTCTGACTTGAAACATTTGGACTGTTATGGAAAAGATTAAGCAGCTATGTCTTTCATCTTACCAGAAATAGGGCAGGCAACATTGGGTATTCTCAGCTCAGGAGAGTTACAAGGAAGGTAAAAAGGAAAAAACCAAGCCATTCTGAGTAAAGGAACTGAGATGGACAAGCAAGTTGGACCAGACATGCCTGGTCTATAAGTTCTGTCCTGGAGGTTGTCGCTCCTGATTAAAGCTCTCCCTTCCCTAGCAAAGATTAAGCATGTTTTGATCAGCGATGCTTCTGTTAGGAACAATGACTTCTGTTTCAAAGCAGGAGGAAACTGTCATATGAATTACATAAAAAAACCTTATTGATTTTTCTTTCTAAATCAGCATTATGACAGGCCTACCTTAGGGAGAATACAAGAGTAAATACATTATTTGCTCATCTCTTTCTCTGTTTGTTCCTTCTCATCTTTCTGAAACAAATATACTTAGATTCTAGGTTTCCATATAAAACAGAGACTAGGTTACTGTGAATGGGTAGTCTACCAGCTGATTTTTATTAGGTTTGACCTGATTTCTTGTAGGTTTGGCCAATTTTTTTTAACCAATTAAATTTACATTCTATTAAATTATACTCAGTGAGGAAATGTCCACTCAGCATCCCCTGGTCATAGACCTGATGCCTCAGTGTTAGTGATTTGCTTTCACCAGCACCTAATAGGCTGAGCGTGCCATTGAGCAAGTCCCTCGCTATTACAACAAGGCCACAACCTCTGAAAGTACCTGGTTTAGATTCCAGGCATGTCTCTCTCCGATGATGGAGTCCAGGAGTTATTCTTGATTGCCAGCTTTTTTGAGCTGGCTTTTTTGAACATTGCACCAATGGGAGCTTGAGTAAAGCTCATACAGGCACCTCATCTTTTTTTAAGTTCACTTCTTTATCTTCCCTGCCAGCACTAAGCCCACTCTAAGCAACTGATAAATATTTCTTGGGAAGAATGAATTATTTTTTTCTGATCATTGGAAAGACAAAAGACAATTTAGGTAGTAATCTTTGATTTCCTTACCATTTAGGATTTCTGGAAGGATGTTTGGTATCTCTGGTCCAGACTTCTCCTTGCAAGTGTACCAAACCAGCAGCAACATCAGTTCTTACATAACTAAAACTTTTTGAGGGTAGGCACAGAACTTTTCAGATGGGATGGTGCTGTCTCAGCATGATTTTGTGCAGTTAATATGCACATGGAATTATCTTGTATTTATCTTTTTATTTTTATAATGTCAGGTCACAAATAAACTAGTACATCTCATCCACAGCTGCACATTAAATGTACATGGAGCACTTTTTAAAAATACGATCCCTGATACTCTCCCCAAAGATTCTGATTCTGTTCACCTGAGTTGGGACCTAGGTTTTATTGGGCTTTTTTATTGATGGTAATATTAGCCAGGCATGAGAATCACTGAAATAGAACATTGGCTTTGTCTCACTTTCTTTTTTATGTTCAAAGGTGTATTCCAACTTCTGATAATTCCAAATACATATTTTCCTCTGGGCATTGGGAACATCATTTCCCTTCTCCTCCATCTCCCTATCGCAGCTCCCCTCTTCATAGGTTGTCCAGCCTCATGTCCATGGGAGCCTCTGCAGCCAGAGAAGTTCAGAATTCACAAACCTGAACTACTGGTCCATCCACTGAAGTGATTTCAAAAAAAAAAGAAAAAGGAAGTAATTAGAGGAGACAGAGGTACTGTGTAGACAGCTGTTTGATTTCTCAACTCTTGGAATGAGGAGGTGTTGATATAGTGAACAAAATGCTTGGATTTTTGCCAGGGTTCTGTGGCACTACAAAAATCT